AGTGGTCCTATACATATACTCGACCATTTTAAGTGCTCTATAAATCTTGCACTTCAAACATGGTCTCAAATATGTAATAACTAACTTTCGACTCTTTTTTATGAAATATACGATTTCAGTTCAGCTTAGCTATAGAACAGGAATATAAATGGAAGAATATACGAGTAAGATATAAAATTGAAAACTTAACAGTACAAATATGAATGATAAAAAACAAACAAAAAACTTAACAATAACAATTAAAAACAGTGATGGTTTGACAATGATTTGGACTAGAATACTATGATCCTAGAGGGTTGTCAACATTGACAGAAATCGAAATGGAAGAATAAAAAATAAAAAAAATAAAAACATGAAAAAATAAATATATTTAATTATACAATAAAAAAACAGATTTTTACTAGAATAATATGATGGTAAATATTTACCAGTATTGACAGGAAAATGGCTTGAAAAGTGAAACCAGACAATTATAATGTGGTAATGGAGAAAACAAGTAAATAGTGAGCAAGGTTGTGGGTTAAGTTGAAGAGGGTATGTTATGGTATCTCATGTGTCAAATTTCGAGCAGAAAAATTAACTTAAATTACTAGGTATAAAAAGACAGAATTAACAATTTACTATGTTAGATGTGAATTAACAATATTATTGTGAAGAGAAAGAAATGGATTGAAAATTAATTTAAAAAATACGGATTTTTATATGTAAGTTTGGGGTGTATGTTTGTTTGATGTGATGTGTGTTTGGGTGTAATTCTAATCGTAACACACACATCATGATCTCTAATATACTTTTAATTCATCCCCGTTGGTAACGAATCGCTGAAGCTTCTTACAGTATAAACGTTTGAGGTCAGGGACAGATGAAGATAAGGTTGTAACGTGAACCTGTCCGTCGTGATGACATGGCCTGCACAGTGCACGCCACACACTATAATGCTACACGCTACACCACTACATCTCTCACGCACACAATATGTCCACTTGTATAGTATCACATCCACGTCTGGCGATAGAAACAAAAGAAGTCATAACTTACTAGCATAGCGTAACCTAAACTCCATACTAGCGCCCACTAGCGACAGAGGAAGTCGACCGATAAGCTGCCTAAGCCAGAGAAGAGGAGTGGTCATTAATATAGGGAGAGGTTACTTCTGTCTTTCTTTGATTAGGGCCAAGCTTCCAGCTTCCATAAATGTGTCTAACGCAACCGGGTATTGGGTCAGTGTAACCTAAACCTCTGCGCTAAACAAGACATTTTGTAACAAAACAATGCCTCCTCAAAGTAATGCACTTGCTTAAGAACATAAAGAAAGATAATATCATAGATAAAACATACCTTGTGTTAAGTCTATGATAAAATGTCGTGCAAAACAATTCGGACTACTGACGAAAAATACCATAAAGCTGTATAAATAGTTTTTACCTAACCCGCCATGTTAAACTTCCCTATCCCTAGCGTGATGTATACAACTTCTTTACTTCTCGAGTGATGTAAAGTTGAAAAAACTCACTCGGTGAGGTAATGAAACCCATTGAAATAACATTGAGTGCTTAACTTAAAAAAAATATACCTCTATGGAGCCAACGACGTTCAACGCTAGAAATCAGCTGTGCGCCTGAATGTGATTGTTATGCTTTTAAGTATTTTCCTAACCTAGCTTTTGTTTGTCAAAAAGGCTGAAGCAACCCCAAATTTCAATCCCGCCAATTCGTAAACCGGATGGAAGCTGGGCTAAGAGTGACATAGAAAAATCTGAAGCTTTCGGGGATTACTTTTCCAATGTATTCAAGCCAAATGTAGGTGTGGTCAATAATGAAGAAGAAATAATAGAATTCTTGGACTCTCCACTTCAACTTGACTTTCCTCTGGAAAAATTCAGACCTACAGAAATTAAGGCAACCATTGACAAATCGCTAAATCCGAAAAAATCTCCTGGTTACGATTCTATCACTGGGAAAATGTTAAAAGAACTGCCAAGGAAAGGAATGATTTTTATTGCATTTCTCTTTAATTCTATATTGAGACTAGACCACATACCAACTCAATTTAAGAAAGCCCAATTAATTGTTATACCAAAACCAGGAAAACCTCCTCATGAAATCACTTCCTACAGACCTATAAGTCTCTTGCCTATAGTGTCCAAGTTGTTTGAGAAATTGTTCCTCAAAAGACTACAAGCTATTTTTGAAGAAGACGACGTCATTCCAGGACACCAATTCGGGTTTAGACGGAGACATGGCACCGTGGAGCAGGTCCATAGGGTTGTTCATACAATTCGAAACTGTTTGGAAAACAAACAATTTTGTTCTGCTGCTTTCCTTGATGTCAGTCAGGCATTTGACAAAGTATGGCACTCTGGCTTACTATTCAAAATTAAGAAGTTACTACCCCATTCAGTTTTTCCTATTTTAAAATCATATCTTACCAACAGAACTTTCCAAATTAAACATCAAAATTACTTAACTGACCTTTACCCTATAGAATCAGGAATCCCCCAAGGAAGCGTGCTTGGACCATACTTGTATATTCTCTATACATCGGACCTACCAGAAAGTGTAAACACTATGGTTGCTACATTTGCGGATGACACGGCGATTTTATCTGTCCACGACAATCCAGCTCAAGCTACAGCAAATTTACAGCTAAACTTGGATGAAATTTCTCATTGGTTTAAAACATGGAGGTTCAAAATTAATGAAAATAAATCAGCACACATTACTTTTACCTTAAATCAGGCTACATGTCCTCCAGTATCCATGAACAATATTCACCTCCCTCAAGTAACGGAAATAAAATACTTGGGCATGCACTTAGATGCAAAGCTTAATTGGAAGGCACATATCTGGACTAAAAGGCAACAACTAAATTTAAAAACAACTAAACTTAATTGGCTTCTTGGATCTAAATCAAAACTCAGTACACAAAATAAATTGTTACTGTACAAAACAGTTTTAAAACCAATTTGGACTTATGGTATTCAGCTTTGGGGATCAGCAAGTACCTCAAACATTGAAATTATTCAACGTTACCAATCAAAATTATTACGTAAAATTGTCAACGCTCCTTGGTTTGTTACCAACAGAACACTTCACAATGATCTTCAAATTCGAACAGTAAAAGAAGAAATTACAAAATATAGTGAAAAATACATTATAAAATTGGAAAATCATTCAAATCATCTTGCACTTAATTTATTGGACAATCACAACACCATTTACAGACTGAAGCGACATACAATATTGGACCTCCCATTCAGATTCGGCTAAGTGTTATCAAAATTCTCTTTGTTAGCTAGTGTTGACAGTGGTCAATCACTAGCTCATGTTCTTCAAGTTATTGTTGTTGTATTACTATTTATATCATTTGCTTATTGTTCAACTTGAACAGATTGTAAATTAAATAAAGTTAAAAAAAAAAGCTTTTGTTTGTAAAAGAATGTTACTGTTAGAAGATGAATTAAATGGATAATGAAAAATATTGTACGCAGCCACATGTATATTGTCAGGTCAGGTAAAATTTTTGTACGTTACACGTTACGCAAGAGCGTGTTTACATCACTTAGGTGAATTATGCAACTCGCTTCGGCCGGGGCCACACTCATCTTATCTCGCTGAATTTTTTCCACGGGCGTTACCCGTGGGTTTGAGAGATACATTACGGTATATGGGGCAGGCCACACTAGACTAAAAACGTCCGTGAAAGCGTTTGTCAAACGGAATTGCACGTGTATTCTCTACTAACATTCCACGGGCGTTGCACGTAAAACTAGTCGTGGGGCATTGCGGCTTATGGGAGTGAACACACTCATCTTATCTCGTTGAATTTTTTCCACGGACGTTTCTAGTTTTAACCTGTTTGTTACTGTGCAGTGAGCGTGGAGGGGGGGGAGCCGGATCACGGACACGGACGATTTTTATTGCCAGTGTGGCATGCTCTATCTATCAGTCTCACTGACTGGTTTGCCCAAAAAACCTATCTCAGACGAGTGTGGCCACGGTCTTACTGTTTCAAAAAACGTTTTTGAAAACGGAAAATACAGTCTAGCTGGTTAAAAATTACAAGTGTGGCCCCGGTTTAAAGCCTACATTTATTTTACACTAAGCTATTAGCTATTATATTTTACAAAAAAAAAAAAAAAAAAAAAACTCGCTTTTTACCCTCCCTGAAGCAGCAAACTTAGGCGCTCATTAAACCTAATGTTATCTAAATATATTTCAGTGAAAATGAAATCAGGCAATTGGAAATTCGCTTAGTCTGCAGATTTGCTGCGGCGGGGTTATTATTTTCATAGTTCCACTTAACACTCAGCTGGAGCGCTGTTCTACCATTGACTAAATGTTACTGCAGTACCTATTACCAATTAATTTATTCTTGTCGGTATTTCACATTTATTTGTGTAGCATACATTATTTTTCACCATGGCCAATACTGATATAGTGTTGAGTATTCTTTGATGTTCATTTAATTTGCCAAATTATCAATATATCTTGAAGCTTCTCTGACACTGAAGTTAAGTTACAATAGCTGGATTTAAATTTCCACAATTCGTATAAGGTCATGATGTCAGTCTTATAGACATCAAGAGACAGACTTTGGTGCAAGAGACGAGTTTGATCCCTGTTATGTAAAAAAATCCAGAGGTTTCACCTCTGTAAAAACGTGTAGGATGCTTTCATACAAAATGTCGCTGGCGTGGAAACTAACAAACCAAATAGAATCGAATGAATTTAGTAATATACAGAAATAAACTTTCATTACATAAAGTATGCCCTACATAAATAAATTGTTTGCCTTTCATGCTTCATAAAAACAGAATACGGATTAATAAATAATGCATGAGCTGTTTAAACATTTATATATTTATCGTGGTGTGTTCTGGCATAAATGGGGTCTATTCACTGTGATTTATTCATACTACAAGTCGATTCAAGTAATACAGTAGGATTGTAACAGCGTGAGGCGTGAGGCGTGTGAGGCGTGGGGTGAGAAGTGTTGTAGTGGTGGTGGTGTGGTGTGGTGCGTGGTGCGCGGGCGCGAGGCCCGGCGTGTCTCCTCATGTAGACGTAGCCCAGTCGTGACCAGGGCTCGCCCGGGACCAGGACGTGGCCGTGTGACAGTGTCAGTGACAGTGACAGTGATGTACCATGGCCACCCCACCAGACAGCCCCATAGAGGAGAACAACTATGAGTTGGAGCCTAGTCGTCTGCCCAAGCATCGACCGGTCGCTCTTGAGGACCTGTGTAGGCAGACCAAGTTTACCCGCCAGGAGATACGAGTCATGTATAGAGGATTCAAACAGGTACCGTCCACCCCGGCCCCGGCCCTGGCCCGGCCACCCCTACCTCAACACTCCAACACTCTCCACACATCACACATCACACTTCCTGCCTTCGATATAAAACAAATTGCTACTTTGGAACAAGTAAATAATAAATCTCAAGTTCTATTACTTGATGGAAAGAAACCATTGAGAGCTTATTTTGCAAATTTCTTAACTGTTGAATCTAGTAAATCAACCACGATAGTTTATCAATTTCTTATCCTTGCAATTATATTTACATGGTACACCCATAGTTGATAAACTCTCATAGTGTGATTCAATAGGGTTAAATCTTCATCTTACTCATTTAGCAGAACGAAAGTGACAAAAACATAATTAATGAGTTTTATATTGAATTGTGTTAGACAAGTTACTACCGATAGTCTTCGAGACACTCAGAGGGATGGCTAGAGATGAAAGGGTGAAATATGTAAATAGACTGGCCAGTAGTAAATTATGGTTCAGTTTATCGATACTCTCACTTTTACTACCTATGTTAAAATTAAACCTTCAATACATCGATGATCTCACAATAAAGCCGAGTTAAAGCCTAAAAGGAAGTAGTGAGGTAGAAATATAGTTCACTTTGTCGAATCTCTCAAAATAACCAAGCTAAAACTCAAGATAAAGAAGCCAAGTAGTAAAATTAAGTGGACTTAATCAAAATTAAAACTCCTAACGTTATGAAATTTACCTATAGTATTTATTTCAACATTTCACCACAGACAATATAATACTCTAATGATAGTTTACTCTATTGTCTGTGATTTCACTTTTTTGTTTGAAATGTAATTTGTTAAGTCCGGCAAGGAACAAAACCCTCCATGAATCCACGGCGTGTCGCTCATACAGAGAGTAAATCTGCAGTCCCTTTCCCAAGCATGACTTTTATATGTCATTTGGTAAGGATTTTTTCTACCTACATGAAAAAAAAACGTATTAACAGACTAAACATAAACCAAAACGTAGAATCCCAGAAACTAGATTTAAATGGTTTTTGGTTGAAGTCAGCCAATACGGCTTTGTCTTTCTTAAAAATAAAAAAAAAACTACATAGATCGTTGAAAATTTTGCCAAACCAAATTACAAATAGAACTCTAAAAACTACTCTGTAACTTGTAAGTAAATGTCATTACCACATATTATTATTTTGGGTTTGGTGTATAAAATATATTTATATTGTACTTATCGTAAATCAAATAGTCCCTTATTTGAGTTCAGTATCTTAACACTCAAAACAATATGTCAACTAAAAAGTGTCGTACATAGTATAGTACAATTCTTTTCCATAAGGTACCCTCGGGCTACTTTTCATAGCAGTGTTGCGATTCGAGGTAGAGTTTTTTGATGTCAATTGGATAGTTTCCATTAAAATTGATTAAATAGTAAATTACAGTACTTACATGGCTGACATTTCAAAAAGTTGTTCGTTTTGTCATGTCCATAACAGATTTCAAGTAAATTTCAGCAAAAGAGATTTTTTCATAACTTAGAGTTACGATTTAGCTTTATACTCGATGAGTTGGACTAAGGGCGTGTAACCATCTTGATTTATTCATTAATCAATGGTAAGAATTAACAATTTTCTGTATGAGATTTTAAGTACCACATCTTCAGCGTCCTCGCCCCTTTAGTCAACTTCTATATTAAAACTATAACCTGTAAACTATAACGTACATGCCTAACTGTTCATATAGGCCTATAACTCACATTACAAAAATATTCATAAGTCAGAAAGAAACTACCGTACACGATTTCAGCAGTGGTGTGACTTGTCCAAAGATTAGAGTGACTGGAGGCTGTCTACTCCGGAGGTCGGGTTCAAATCCCACAAATCAGCAACTCTGAGTATTTGTCTTGCTATAACACTCTGGTTCGGAGTCCTCCTTAGGCTATTACGTGCACCCATGTCCACCTGTAGAGTGAAAGGATCGGCATCTAACACCAGGGCTGTCCCTGAGAATTCTTCATGTTAATCTACATAATTACTTAATTACAGTATTTTATCGATATATTAAATTTTAAAACATACCTTTTCTTGATTTTCAAGATTATTTTGGTAAATACAGGGTTTCTATAAAATAATGGTGCGGTTTTAACATCCGGTAAAACTGTTATAAGACAAATTAAATAACTTCTGTTGGTATCCCTGTATCCAGTAGCTCAAACAGTTTTGTTCACAATAGTTAAAACAGCTGTTTTGATTGTTGTGCTATTCAAAACACTTCTTATTCAATAAGTTGAGTTTTTTTTTACCAACATGTTTTGAGATCAGGAAAAAGCTAAGTGTGTATTGTTATTAAGTGAGTTAACGTCAGGGACTTTAGTGCAACGGACATTTCGAAGAACATTCAATAAAGCTCCGCCTCATAAAAACAACATTAATCGTTGGAGTAAGCAATTCATAAACACTGGGTCAGTTAAAAAGGAAAGTAGACCTGGTAGACCAACAGTATCTAACCAGACAGTTGAAGACATCAGACTATCTTGTGTTAGAAGTCCAAAGAAATCCCTCCCTCGCCGTAGTCTTGAATTAGAAATACCTGCAAGTACTCTTCACAAAGTTTTACACAAAAGACTCAATCTTCATGCCTACAAAATTCAACTTCTTTAAAAAATAAAAACAACAGATTTGATGAAAAGACCAGGATTCGCTACATTTATGTTGAACCAAATGGCAGAAAATGAACCATTTTTGAATTAAGTAGTTTTTTTTTCAGATGAAGCCACATTTCACATCAGTTGTGTTAATAGGCACAACTTAAGAATTTGGGGAGCTCAGCGTCCTCATGAAACTTTTGAAAAGGAAAGTGACTCGCCAAAAATAAACGTTTGGTGCAGAGAAGAAGTAATTGGGCCATATTTCTTCGCCGAAAAAACTATCAATGGAAATGTTTACTTGGACATGTTAGAAAACTATTGTTTTCCTCAACTTGACGACATGGGAAATGCAAACAGCCTTTATTTTCAGCAGGATGGAGCATCTCCACATTATAAAACAATTGTTCGAGATGCTTCCTTAAGTTCCCAAACAGGTGGATTGGAAGGAGCGGTCCTATAGCATGGCCCCCAGGAGCCCGGACCTGACTCCATGAGATTTTCTCTTTGGGGTCATGTAAAGAACATAGTATATGCTCAAAAAATTCACAATTTGGACCACCTAAGGAAAAGAATCATTCATGCAGTTTCAACGGTAACAAGAGAAATGTTGCAAAATTTGTGGGCTGAAGTAAATTATCGTTTGGATGCTGCAGGGCATGATGGAATGGTGGCCATGTTGAGCTTTATTAGATACTGTATGTATAAAATATTTTTAATGTAAGGAATCCAATAAAGTAAATAGTTTTTCGTGCCTCTTCTCGTTATCTTTTTATTTCATAATTAAACCGCACCATTATTTTATGAAAACCCTGTATATACATTTACCCTAGTTTTATTAATCCATACCTAGAATGGTTATCAAGATTACATTTTCTAAACTATCCTCTCGTAATAAAGAGACTTGTTGAAGCCATTGTAATAGAGTTTGAGTGGCCAAATAGACCTTCGTTATGGGACTTGAACAAGTTTGTGTGTTTAATAGTCGCAATACATTTCTGAGTTGCAACTGTAAGTCTATGTAGTGTACGCTACTAAAGCTTGCAGTAACGTCATTTTTGTATCAACGGCCTTCAATCTACTACATACAATAAAAACAAAGGCTTTAATGGAACTACAATACAATTCATTTTAGAAAGGTCCAAAAATAGTGTTTATAAAATATACATAGTGGTCAAACATTTACCATAAAAATTGTTCGTAAAGTATGTAATGAATCAATACAAAATTCTAGTTCTGCTTAATACTTCTTAAAAAAAGATCCAAGATAAAAACAAATGTTTATTGCGATTGCGAGCTTGACATACCCGCCTTCTCAGGCAGCTCAGATCAGCTTTTGTCAATAGCTACTTAATCCTGTTAGCTAGTAAACTGGAATTCATTTGGTGACTAGTTTTCACGTTGAAAGAAGTAATATAACTATCGTTGTCGACGAAGTAAAGTTTTTTTTATACCCCGCAGCAGTATGCAGACTAAGCAAAATTCCATTTCCCCGGTTAGATTTTTACTCAATTATTCCCTTAAATTTGCCAGTCTTATTTTCAACTTGAATAACGTAAATTTTAAAGAGTTTTTAGGTTTGCTTCCACAAAAAAGGATATAAAATTGTGTTATTATTTAAATGTTTAGCTTAGTATGTATGACATGAGAAATCTACCAAATTCGATCAAAATTTTTATTCCTGAACAAACAAACGACAATAGTGTTTATTTATTCTCTATAAGAAATGTATTTATTTCTAAGAATACATAAGGGTTTTAGACTTACGCTTTTTTATACTTTTTTAACATATGTTCTTTTTAATCTTCACAAAATAGTTTAGAAAGATAGTGCAATTTTTTGTTGTTTTGTAGCTCATAATGGGAAACAAATTTGAACCCATAAAAACTCGTTTCCATAGTTTGATCATACTGGTTTATGAACTAGTTCGAATAAAAGTAGGCCTACAAGTTTGTACAAAATTTCATTAAAATCGGACAATTTTTGTATTCGAAATATTGTGCTAACGGACACACACACATTATACAGTATATGTCATTAGTTAGAACGACCCATGGAGACATTCAGTCTAGAGACAATTAACTGTTCACACAAACTATTGAAATATTTCTTTACTGTACATTCTTGTATTCCTGTATACATGTAATTTTGTCTTTTATTTGCATTAATTGGCAGGAACTTTCCCGGACAATTAATTCTCATTCAAATATTTACATTTAATGTAGGCATAAAAATAAATTGGAAACAAAGCTTAAGAAAGAGAAACGTTTGGTTCTTCCACTTAAGTATTGTGAATCTCATTGTCAGAGACAGCAATAATACTACACCACAACCGCCACTTGGATGGTTTCCAGATCTCTGGTTATTCGAAATCTTTGCTG